CCCCCTGCCATTGGGTATGTATGTTTGCCAAAGAGAAACAAAGTGAAAAATTACCTCCCGGGGGGATGGCCACACTGCAACCCATTCTCCATTTTCCTCCCCGGATTTTGGGCATGCATGCACATGCCTGGCATGTTTTTCAAACTGCCAGGTCTGGGACTTAAACTGTAATCGGCCACATAGGAGTCCAGTGCCTTATCCCACCAAGGGGGGATGGCCATGTTGCAATCCCTTCCCCATTCTCCTCTTGGGATTTTGGGCATGCATGTACATGTACCCAGGCAAGTTTTAAGCAGCCGGATCCAGGACTCAAACCATGGTTGACTGTGTGGGAATCCAGTGACATAACCATCTGCTGGCCCCAAAAGTGCCTACTTTTTAAAATCATAGAACCATACTTCTTGTTATCTTGCTATGCTATTTAAAAATATCCTTCATAGCATTTATGGTGGTGAATTTCCTCAAGAAGGTAAGTATCACATGTTTGGCAGGAGGCTACTGAAACCTCATAGACCTCTACCAGGATCTAGAACACTGGTTCCTTACTCCATTATATTCACTCATAGGGTGATTTTAATTTCTTAATATTTAAAAAAAAAATTCTTGTTCTGTCATAGACCTGACAGTATCTCTTCTGAATTTAGCTATAAGATTTCCTGTGAATAAGCTGATTCATGATGCTAAATGTTCTGGCTGTCAGATAATAAACCTGTGTAAATGGAAAAGCAACCCAAAGTTGCCTGCTTGTTTTCCTGTGCTTTTAGAAACCTGACATTGGCACATATTAATTCCTGAATGCTTGCAAGAACTTGATGATTATAGCCTAATGAGCTGGAAGAGTTCCTCAAGTGACTAGAAATGTATTTTAGCACTAGCTTCCAAATTATTTGTTGCATAGTTTTGGATGAACTGCTTAATTTTATGCACATACAAAAACTGAGCAATTTCCTTTCTATATATTATATGATCTTGTAAACATTTCTGCTGCAAAAAAATTTACCTCTCTTGCCAATGATTTTGACACTTTGTCCTTAGTCTCAAACAATTAGATAGCTAATTGTTATTATGTCACACAAGAATGAATGTAGCCTCTTCTTTCACCTCTGCGCCATCACATGTCCACACTGCCATGGTTATCTTTCAGCTGAGTCAAACTTTGCCCTTTTGTTATTTCTCCCATTCTCCTAATGCTTTTTATAGCATATGTAAAAAAGGAAATAGAATTTGAGTTAGTTTTATTCAAAATGTGGTAAAGATGAAATAAATAGTTTTCCTTGCAAATTTAAAAATTTCTCTTTTGAAAAATTTTTTAGAATTTAATTTCTTGGGGGCCAGGAGGTGGTACAGTAGTAAAACACAACTCTACATGAGTTGGCCCCACGTGGGAAGGTTCCCAGTTCGTCTTGAGTACATTAGATCCAGAGCTGGCTGTAGCCTACAAGTAAATTCCAGCATCAAAACCCTGTTGGGGAAGCTCTTTCTCTGTCTGTCTCTCTGTCTCTGTCTCTTGCTCATAGAAGAAATAAGTGAATAAACTTTTAAAAATTTGAAAAGGAATTTTAAATTATAGAAGACAAAGATTGCAAAATAAATCTAGCAGCTAAAGCAGTCCTGAGTTTAAGAAATGCTTAAAGAACTTACAAGTTCTGGGGCCAGCAGGTGGTGTGGTGATTAAGTGTGCTGGACTCCCACATGGTTGACCACAGTTCAAGTCCCGTACCTAGAGGCTTCCTTTCTCACTTTTCCTCTCTCTTTCATTCTATCCCTCTCTGGTCTAAATATATATATATATATACACATACACACATACATACATATATATATGTGTGTGTGTGTGCGTGTGTGTGTGTGTGTGTGTATATATGTAAGTTAAATAATTCTTTGGAAAAAAAAAGAACTTATAAGTTCTTGGGGCCAGCAGATAGCATAATGGTTATGTTGCTGGACTCCCATGTAGTTGACCGTGGTTTGAATCAGGGACCTGGCGGCCTAAAACTCACGCTGGGCACACGTGTGCGTGCACACGCACACACCCAAGATCCCAAAAGGAGAATGGGGGAGAAGGGATTGTGGCATAGTCATCCCGCCAAGGAGTGATTTCTTTTGCTTTCTCTCTTTTTCTCTCCAGTGAGCACACATGCTCTACAGCAAAAATTTCTCTCACTCAAAAAAAGAAGTTTTTTATTTTGACAATTTCATATTATTGAAAAACTATGCATGAGGTTCGAGATTTTTTTGCACCAAAATAAACTCATATTCAATTCCATTTTCCCACACATAGTTTGAGGTCCTTGCATATTTATATACATATAGGTAGTCAGAAAAGTCATGACATTTTTCTATGTATAAATTCCTTTTGACCTTTTCAACAACTTGGTACATTTACGCATTTTAATCCATTTTCAACTTGGCAGATAGTTACCTCTTTTGCTATCACTCTTTTATCTCTCTTTTGAGTATTTTAACTCTTCTGTCTTCAAATTGAGGGCATTCTCCTTTACTCTATTTCCCAAACAATTTTAATGGTATTACTCTTAAGACACTATCTACACGAGTTTAGCTCCTACTTTTTTGTTCATTATCCTTCACCAAATCTCCAATCTCTCACAGTTACTACTCCAACACTGAAAATAATAGTTATTTTTTTCTTTTATCCACAAGTCCACTGGTAATTCCCTCATTATTAGTTGAAGCATGATCATTTTCTTTGTCCTTCTTCTTTGTTCCCATTCTCTTTCCTAGTGTGTCCTCTTTTATAATATTTGGGTTTTCTCATTTCTGTTTCTTAAACAAAATGTTCAATTTGTATCATGTTTTTAATGTTATGTTAGATAACTTTAAAATCTGTACATGTTCCCATTGCCAAAAATCTTTCATGACACTTTGTCCCTATTATCAAAACTGTCAGATTGCTAATTGATTCTTGTATCTGTGTCCCCTATTTTTATTTTTTATTTATTTCTACATCCATTCTCCCATGTATTCCTTTCAGCTGAGCCAAATTTCTCATTCTCTTTATGGTATATCCTACTCTTCTAATTTGCTTCCTTCTATGCTTATAATAAATTCCTACCTTACATCTATCAATCTACCTATATTCTCATCCAAAGCTTGTTTGAAATCTTAACTCGAAGTGGATAAAGATAGCAAAGGAAACAAAAGCCTTATTTTCAATTGGTTTTAAACTTTTCTCAAAAATCTGTATGCTAAATTAAAGGGAGATCCATCACAAAGCGAAACCAGCACTCAACCAAGGTAGGTTTATATATTTTAACCAGCCCATTGATACAGTTAAATCCAGAAACTATGCCCTTATTGTGTACAGCAATATGTAGAAAGCAAAGGATATAAACCCAGAGGTAGAAGACATGGATATTGTCTTAAAACCAATATAAACAAGGAGACAAGAATAATGTACATGAAGCACTGAAAAAGTGATTGGAATTATCATCCTTTTAATCAAATACTAGGTTATATAGATTTTAAGTGCTGTTAAATGTTCAGAGTAAAGGGAAAATACTTTTCTTGGGATTGCCAGTAATGATTTTATTTGGAAGTGGGTCTTGAAGAAAATGTAGAGTTTGGATTAACTGGACTGGACTAGAAGACTTGTTAGCATTTCTAGGCTGAAATAGTAACAATAATTGCTTAACAAAGACCCAAAGGGAGAAATTAGCTAGTTGTTTAAGAGAAAACAGCAAATTTTATTTTAGGTAATAATGGGAATATTGTTAAATAGCTAAAATGGAACTAATTGATCACAGGCCTTAAATTCCAAATTGAGGAATTAAGAATTGTAAAAAAGAAATTCCCTTTGCTGAAACATTTTAATTAATCAAGGTTTTTATCTTGTTTAAATATCTTCAGATTTTTAAATATAATAGCATTAGCTAATATTGGGTACTTCACTTTGTGCTAAGAATCATTGTGAGTACTTTTGAAGTAATAACTGATTTAATCTTTACAACACCTCTTTGTGAAAGGTTCTGGTTTTTTGTTTTGTTTTAAGAGAGATTTTTACTATAGGGTATGTGTGCTCACTGGAGACACAGAGAAAGACAGAGAGAGAGAAAGTGAGAAACCCGGGGGGGGGGGGGAACCATGCCACAGTCTCTTTCATTCTCTTTTCGGAATTTTGGACACATGCTCATGAGCCTGGTGTGAGTTTCAAGCAGCTGGGTTCAAGACTTGAACCACAATTGACTATGTGGGAGTCCAGCGCCTTAATGACTGTGCCAGCTGCTGGCCGTGGTAGGTTCTGTTTTTAAATTCCTTATTTTATAAATGAGCATGCAGAAAGGATTAATACTTTCACTTGTTCAAGTAAATGGCAGCTAAGATTCAAATTCTGGTACCAAATTCTACATTCTTACATGCTATATATGCAACCTTATGAAGGCAGTATGTAAGTGTTTCCGATGTGTTGTGAGATTTAAACAATTGAACCCGAATTACTCTTTAGTTGCAAGGTAATTTTCTCAAACATTACTCACATTGGCATACTGCATTCTAGTTGACTGCAGTTTGAGTCCTGGGCCTGGTGGCTTAAACTCATGCTGGGTGTGTGTTCGTGCGTGCCCAAGATCCCAAAAGGATGGAGAAGAAGGGATTGTGGCATGGCCATCCCCCCTGGGGGCTGATTTCTCACTTTCTGTTTCTCTGTCTCTGTCTTTCTGGTGAGCACGCACACCCTGTAGCAAAAACCTCTCAAAAAAAAAAAAATCTCTATAAGGATTTTTTTGGACTAGAAAATATTAGAAATAAACTCATTAGTTTGGTGTATGAAGAAACAATTATTTCATTTGCCTCATAAAATCTTTATTTCAACAATCCTTCTATTACGACAGGGCTTCTGGTTGGGACTCTTGATTCAGTCTTAGACTCTACTGCGAAAGTAGCTCCATTTCGCATCCTACACCAAACGCCAGATTCTCAAGTTTACTTGTCAATTGCATGTGGTGAGTATATGGTTTTTGAAACATATAATTCAGATTAAATAAAGATTGTAAGACACTGAATATATTCACTATTTATATTCTATAGAATTAGCATCTTATTGTCTATAGAATTAAGTGAATTAAATGTGTAAGAATCCTTTGAGAGTGTAGGAAGACTTCTATTCATTTAAGAAGGATTATTAATTAAGATTTTAAAAAATCCATTGGTGTGAGGGAGCTGAACCATGTGGTCCAGCAGTGCTGATTCTGAATGAATTTTGGTCAGTGCTATTGCTATGTGACTCCTTTCTTCAGCTTCTGCTTTACCCAGCTTCTGGGGAGATGAACTTATCCATGAAATATATTATTTCATTTCTAGTAATCCAGATGAGGAGAATCTGAAATTAACTGTGAGCCCAAAACTTAAAAATATCATTTAAGGAAATATAAGCCTGAAAATTTCAGTTTCTTAAATTCACATGCCTACTTTCTCATGAAAGACATTGTATCCTTGAAATATGAAGGAATATCTTAGAGGTTATGCTGCATATTCATTTATGCTTGGATGGTTCAGACATGCCCACCTATTTATTGTGGGTAAAGAAGAAATTAGAGTAATTCTTCCTAATATACCAAATCAAGATATATTTTTAAAAATCTGTCATGATATTGTGTTACTTTTTTATCATGTCATTATAATGTTTGTCTAAATTAGAATCCCAGATTTGTAACCTTTTTAATGTGGCAAGATGGCCTTTTTCTTTCTTCCCCCCTCCTTTCTAAAGTACATTTAATTTTGTTTTCAAGGTGTTTTGCTATTGGATGCATGTATTCTCCGGAGAGAGGGAAAGTGAGAAGTCACCCCCTGGAGGATGGCCATGCCACAATCCCTTCTCTAGTTTCCTCTCAGGATTCTGGGCATACACATACACACACACATCCAGTGGATTTTCAAGCCGCTGGGTCTGGAACTCAAGTTTGGTCCACCATGTGGGAGTCCAGTACCTTAACCACTATACCACCTGCTGGCCCCAGTAGATTTAATTAAAAAAAAATAATTTCTAGGGACCAGCAGTTGACGTAATGACTATGTTGCTGGACTCCCATGTAGTCGACCATGGTTCAAGTCCTAGACCTGGTCCAGGTGACTTAAACTCACACTGGGTGCATGTGTATGCGTGCCCAAGATCCTGAGAGGAGAATGGAAGAGAAGGAATTGCAGCATGGCCATCCCCCCAGTGGGTGATTTCTCATTTTCTATCCTCCTGTCTCTCTCTGTCTTTCTGGCAAGCGCACACACCCTATAGCAAAAATCTCTCCAAAAATAATTAATTTCTAGACAGTTCATTTGTATGAAATGTAGCATACTTTTTTTTTTTTTTTTGGGGTGGTGGTTTTTTT